CCAACCCTTTGTACACGTGAGGCGACTATGCATCGGACCGCTCAATACAAAAGCAAGCACTGAAGGACCCACCGTACTCTTGAACGCTTCGCCAAAGAAGGTTGGGCCAGAGTCAAATGTTTCACATTCGCGGCATCAGTCTGACGAGTCGGACCATTGGCAGGAGGGCAACCACGAGGGGCGTGGAAACCTACTTATGAAGGGGGAAATGGAGACATACTTCGTGGGAGTAACAGCGCAGCACGCTAGGTTATCATTGCAGAACAGCGCCACGCGCGCTATGACAGAACAGCGCCCTGCGCTAAGCGCTGCAAGTGCCCGAGTGCTGCACTACGGACAAGAGGCAACTGAAGAGTCGGTGCGGCATGGGCACACGACAGCGCCATGCGCACCGTGGCGCCCCATCCCGCTGCGATCTGCGATCAAACATCTCAGCGAGGTCTCATGGTGGCCCCCGTGGGACACCCCTCCGCTGGACCTCCCAGGAGCCCACGAAAGTGGCGACAGCTCCGCAGATCGCAGCCCCCCAGGGACGGCGAGGTTTCGTGGTGATCTGCGTGGGACGTACCTCCGCTGGGCCTCCCCGCAGCCCACGAAAGTGGCAACAGTTTCGCAGACCGCAGTGCCCCCGGCGACGGCGAGATCTCGTGGTGATCTGCGTGGGACGTACCTCCGCTGGCCCTCCCAGAAGCCCACGAAAGTGGCGACGGACTGGCAGATCGCAGCCCCCCAAGGAGCGGCGAGGTCTCGTGGTCATCTGCGTAGGATGTACCTCCGCTGAGCCTCCCAGGAGCCAACGAAAGTGGCGACAGCTCTGTAGATCGCAGCCCCCCAGGGGACGGCGAGGTCTCGCGGTGATCTGCGTGGGCTTACCTCCGCTGGCCCTCCCAGGAGCCCACGAAAATGGCGCCAGTTTCGCAGACCGCAGCCCCCCAGGGGGGCGACGAGGTCTTGTGGTGATCTGCGTGGGACGTACCTCCGCTGGCCCTGCCAGAAGCCCACGAAAGTGGCGACAGTTTCGCAGATCGCAGCCCTCCAGGGGACGGCGAGTTCTCGGGGTGATCTGCGTGGGACGTACCTCCGCTGGCCCTCCCAGAAGCCCACGAAAGTGGCGATGGTTTCGCAGATCGCAGCCCCCCAGGGGACGGCGAGGTCTCGGGGTGATCTGCGTGGGACGTATCTCTGCTGGCCCTCCCAGAAGCCCACGAAAGTGGCAACAGTTTCGCAGATCGCAGCCCCCCAGGGGACGGTGAGGTCTCGTGACGATCTGCATGGGACGTATGTCCGCTGGCCCTCCCCGAAGCCCACGAAAATGGCGCCAGTTTCGCAGATCGCAGCCGCCCAGGGACGGCGAGGTCTCGTGGTGATCTGCGTGGGACGTACCTCCGCTGGCCCTGCCAGAAGCCCACGAAAGTGGCGATGGTTTCGCAGATCGCAGCCCCCCAGGGGACGGCGAGGTCTCGGGGTGATCTGCGTGGGACGTACCCCTGCTGGCCCTCCCAGAAGCCCACGAAAGTGGCGCCAGTTTCGCAGATCGCAGCCCCCCAGGGGACGGCGAGGTCTCGGGGTGATCTGCGTGGGACGTACCTCCGCTGGCCCTGCCAGAAGCCCACGAATGTGGCGATGGTTTCGCAGATCGCAGCCCCCCAGGGGAAGGCGAGGTCTCGGGGTGATCTGCGTGGGACGTATCTCTGCTGGCCCTCCCAGAAGCCCACGAAAGTGGCGCCAGTTTCGCAGATCGCAGCCCCCCAGGGGACGGCGAGGTCTCGGGGTGATCTGCGTGGGACGTACCTCCGCTGACCCTCCCAGGAGCCAACGAAAGTGGCGACAGCTCCGCAGATCGCAGCCCCCCAGGGGACGGCGAGGTCTCGGGGTGATCCGCGTGTGACGTACCTCCGCTGGGCCTCCCAGAAGCCCACGAAAGTGGCGACGGTTTCGCAGATCGCAGCCCCCCGGGAGACGGCGAGATCACAAGGCAGTGAGGAGGAAGTAAACCAGGAGGAGAATGGAGGGAGGAAGGAGGAGGGGCAGGATGAGGAGCAGGAGGAGGAGGAGTAGAAAAAGGAGGTGGAGACCACAGTGCTCTATTCAAAACGAGTACCCAACACAGGAGGGTTGGGGGAAAGACCTCGATCCTTACGGTCAGGGTGTGACGCCAAGCGCTCACCTGCAGAGAATCGGGTACACGCTTTGCGGCGTCAGACGTCGCGTGTTATGCCGTGGGTACCTGGGCGCTCGAAGGTACACGATAAGCGTACCCCCTTTCCATCCACTCTGCACCGCCTACCAGGGGCTTAAAATGCACCTCGGGTGAGCGCTTAGCATGTACCTCGGGTACGCCCTGAGAGGTTCTGCACTCAACGTGCCCGCCCGATCCGCTGTTCAAGGGGCGCTGGCGATACACGCTATGCGTCACACCCTGACCGCATAGCTTCTGAAAACGCGAAGATGTCCTCATTGGCATGCCATGGCAGCCTCCCACACCCATCTTGCTGGCTCTTGCGAACCAACGCTGACCGACGCGAATCGACGCTGATCAACGCTGATCGACGCCCGATCGACGCCACATCGGCGCTCTCGCATCGATTCGCAGACGCCAGCGCACGCCAAGGGACTCGAGCGACGAAACTGCGAGGACACGCAAGGCTTCCATGGTTTGCTGCCGAAGCTGCCCGAAGCGGCCCCGAGGCTGCCCGAGGCTGCCCGAGGCGGCCCCGGCTCTCCGACGGGGTGAGTGCCTCAATCCCAGCGCGTGTCAACACAAAGCCTGGACGGGCAGCTCCTCCTCCCCCCTCCTCCTCCTCCTCCTCCTCCTCCTCCTCCCTCCTCCCTCCCCTCCTCCTCTCCCCTCATCCTCCTCCTCCTCCCTCCTCCTCCTCCTCCTCTCCTCCTCCTCCGCGTACGTACACCGGAGATCTCCGATGGCGCAGAGCTCACGGCCACCTCCAGCGAGAGCCCCGCTTCGAGGCGGAGCCGCCGCATCTGCCCGTGCAGCGATGGCACCCCTTGCTGGCATCGGACCAGAACGCCTGCGCAAGTCTTGAGCGAGAGCCCCATCTCGAGAAGGAGCCGCCTTCCTTCTGCGGCAACTCGCGGGAGCATCCCATGCGAACCCACGCGAATCGACGCCAATCGACGCGAATCGGCGCAAAATCTACGCCAATCGACGCTCGATCGGCGCTCTCTCATCGATCACCAGACGCTAGCGCGCACTAACGCGCCCCAATGACGGAATTACGAGGACAGACAAGGCTCCCATGAACTGCTACCGAACGGTATACGATGAGAACGCCTGCACGAGTCTTGAGCGAGAGCCCCCACTCGTAATGGAGCCGCCTTCCCTCCGTCGAGCCTGCTGCACGAACTCGACGATGGCAACGGGACGTCCGAAGCCGCACGCACGAGCCCTGTGTTGCAACAACAGAAAAAAGCGCCCTCCGTCCGTGCAGCTGCTGGAAACTGCGTGGACGGACGTGCGCGGCGCTGCGGCGAGCGCCGCGTGTCGAGAGGCGGTCCGCCCTCCACCCGTCTGACCGCTGAACACTGCAAGCAGCAGGATCGCTCCCTGCGCGGCGATGCCAGGCGGGACGCCTGGCCCGCCCGTTATCGACACGTCTGGCGGCGCAACGGGGACGAGGTCTGCATCAGGGGGAGGGGATCGGGAGAAGGAGAGGAAGAAGAGAAAAGGGGGGCGGAGGTGGAGAAGGACCTCATCAGACTCGCCGCCTACCACTGTTTCCTCCTACACTTCCTCCTCCTCCTCCTCCTCATCGTCATCCGTCGTAGTCGTCCTCAGCGTCATCAGCATCATAAACACCATCACCACTACCAAAACCAGCATCATTGTCGTCGTCATCATCATCATCATCAGCAGCAGCATCAGCAGCAGAATCATCATCATCATCATCATCATCATCATCATCATCATCCTCATCATCATCATCATCATCATCATCATCATCATCATCATCATCATCATCATCATCATCATCATCATCATCATCAGCAGCGTCAGCATCATCATCATCATCATCATCATCAGCAGCAGCAGCAGCATCATCAGAATCAGCATCACCACAACCAAAACCAGCATCATTGTCATCATCATCATCATCATCATCATCATCATCATCATCATCATCAACATCATCATCATCATCATCATCATCATCATCATCATCATCATCATCATCATCATCATCATCATCATCGGCATCAGCATCATCATATCATCATTATCATCATATCGTCATATCATCATCATCATCATCATCAGCAGCAGCATCATCATCATCAGCATCATCATCGTCATCATCATCCTTGTCCTCATCCTCGTCCTCACCCTCGTCCTCCTCCCCACCACCATCCCCACCACCATCCCCACCACCATCATCATCATGTTCATGTTCATGTCCGCGCGCATCGTCATCGTTCTCGTCATCGCCATCGTCGTCGTAAGCAGCCGCCGTCGCCCTGCAAGCAGCCGTGGCGCCCACGTTCGGGGGGGGGGGGGCGGGGGCCTCCGGAGGCCTGGCTTCTGGGGGAGGGGGCGGGGGCCTCTGGAGGCCTGGCTTCATGTCCGCGCGCCTCGTCGTCGCTCTCGTCATCGCCATCGTCGTCGTCGTCAGCAGTCGCCGCCTTCCCTGCGAGCCGCCGTGGAAGCCGTGGCGCCCACGTCCGAGAGGGGGGGGGGGGAGGGCCTCTGGAGGCATGGCTTCGGGTGGCCCCGTGCCTCCGCCCCTGCTCCCCCCACATATATATATATATACACACACACATACGCGCTATGTTAAACAAAAATGTTTATATCATCTGTATATATATATATATATATTATGTGTGTATGCGGCCTGCGGCCGCCCGCGCCCTCGAAAAGCGCATCCGACGGGGGCCAGGCAGGCCGAGAAGATCGCGACGCGCGGAGCGAGCTGGCGCCCTCCGAGCATCCCCGCGAGCGCGGGAGCAGAGCAGCAGAGGGCGGCGAGAGAGCCCGCGAGTGCCTCACTGGGGCGCCACCAGGAAGCGCCAGGTCTTCTCCTGGCGAGGCTCCCCTCCACATGTGAGCTGTAGCTGTTTGCGCTCTGTCACCGCTGCAGCAGAGGCCCAACCTTGCAAGAACCTCCTGCGAGAGCGATTATGATAGTAGCGCCCCCATGGTCCTCCTCAAAATCCGCCTGAGACAGCATCGTCCCCCCCCCCCCTCCTGGAGGCTCACAATGGCCTCATCCTCTGAGGAACACGGGACTCCCAGGCACCTCCTCCATACTCCCCCCTCCTCCTTCGCCTCCCCTCCTCCCCCTCATCGTCCGCATTCCTCATCCCACTCCCCCTCGGTGGACAGGAGGGGAGGGGAGGAGAAGGAGGAGGAGGAGGAGGAGAACCAGAGTAGTCCCACGATACACCAACGATGCGGGAATACGCCCTCCCGTCCTGAGCCCCCGCCTCATGAGTCCCTCCAGGCCTTCCTTTTCTACTGCGAGGAACGCCCCCTTGAAAAAAACGAGCAGCACGCGGGCCTGCCGTTGAGGCGAGAGCCCTGCTTTGAAAAGGAACACCCACCCCCCCAACCCGTGGAACTGCTGCACGAGCTTTGATTTCTGTGCACCTTGCAGATCAACAGCCCTCCAGTAGGAAGGCACAAACTATACACCAACACCGATCCTGGCCAGGATCACCCTGGGCCCAGGATCGGTGTATACGCCCTCCTGCCTTGCGCAAGAAGGCATATACACCGATCCTGGGCCCAGGGTGATCCTGGGCCAGGATCGGTGTTGGTGTATAGTTGGTGCCCTCCGATCCATCCGAGCAGCTGCTTCATCATGTGTTTCAACTTCTGACAGTGGAGTTCCAGGAAGTCTCAACAGAGAGCCTCCCTTTGAGAAGGAAGCATCCTCCGTTCCTGTGTGCAAGTGTTGCACTGCGTTCACCGAATGGGCGTGGTGCTACACAGCGAGAGCCGCACCGTGAAAACGAACCTGGCCTCAATCCGTGCAACCGCTACCAACGTTGCAGATGAATGCGCGCGGCATGTGTGCGAGAATATTATGTTGCCAACGCGCCAGCATCCATCTTTGCAGCTGCTGCAGAATGTGAAGACGGATGTGCGCGGCGCTACGGCGAGAGCCGCACTTTGAAAACTACTGGCCTGCCAGGCCTGCAGCCGTTGCAGATGTGTACAGAAATTGCGCGCGGCGCTAAGGCGAGAGCCGCATTGTGAAAACAACCGGCCCCCAGACCGTGTAACTGCTGGAGCTCTTTCGCTTGGTGATAACAAGTGGTAGGGAAATTTCAAGCGCAACGGCCAGCACGGCCTACGGACACGCCTGGTGATGCGACAGGGTGGAAAAGAGTGGAGGACGAGGCGAAAGGGGGGAGGGAGAGGCGAACGGGCAGGAGAGGACAGAGGTGAAGGAGAACGAGGAAAAGGAGGACGAGGAGGAGGAGGAGGAGGAGGAGGAGGAGGACGAGGAGGAGAAGGAGGACGAGGAGGACAAGGAGGAGGACGAGGAGGAGGAGGAGGAGGAGGAGGAGGACGGGGAGGAGGACAAGCACGCCCCAGAGGGGCACCACCATGAGCGGGGCGTCGCGCCGATGTGCCCCCGAGGCGCAGGCGGGGAGCACCTGGCCCTCGGGGCACCAGCCCCCGCCCTGGGCTGGTCCCCCCAGAGCGGGGCCCCCTTCCCAAGGAGTCGCCAGGTCCTCCTCCTCCTCCTCCTCCTCCTCCTCCTCCTCCTCCTCCTCCTCCTCCTCCTCCTCCTCCTCCTCCTCCTCCCTCCTCCTCCCCCTCCTCCCCCCCCTCCCTCCTCCTCCTCCTCCCTCCTCCTCCCCCTCCTCCTCCCCCTCCTCCCCCCCGCTCGGGCTGGGCTTCCCCCACCGGGCCCCCCGATCTGGGGGCTCTGCCGGGCGGTCCGTCTCCCTGTCGTGTCGCCGCCGTCGCCGCCGTCGTCCGTCGCGCCGTGGCGGGCCCTCGGGCCCTCGGGGTGGGCGGCGCAGGCGTGGTGGCAGTCTGGCCCCTGGCCCGTCTGTCGGCGTCGATGCCTCCGGCCGACACGACAAGGCGTGGCGGGGGAGCTGGCCAGCGCCTTTGCACCCAGGCGACCTGCTTTGGGTCGGGTATGTCCTCCTACAGGCAGGTGCTGGCAGACAAATCAGAAATCATCGGAACGGATTCAAAAACAGTCGAAAATAGTCACCATAAAAACGTCCCCAGGCTATATTTTGACTACTTGTTGCATTCCTCCTGTAGAGAGACGTGCCCGACTTAAGACCTGCTCAGAAGGGCCTGCTTTCGCGCTCTTAGCGCCTCGCGGTCTCAGCGGCGGCCCCGATCACGGGACAGTCCGCTGCAGTTCTGGGCGCGAGGAAGACGAGCATGAGGGCGAGGAGGGGAGAGGAGATGGGCGAGGATGGGCAGCAGAAGCAGGAGGACTCCTCTCCCTTCTCCCTCCTTCTTGCCACAATTCTTCGTGTCGTGAAAACGAATTGCGTTGTCGAGATACATATGCATATATCTGAAAAGATTGGGGATCTCATCATCACTATATTCATCATCATCGCCATCAACAACAACAACAACAACATCATCATCATCATCAGCAGCAGCGGTATCATCATCATCATCATCATCATCATCATCATCATCATCATCATCATCATCATCATCATCATCATCATCATCATCCTCCTCCTCCTCCTCCTCCTCCTCCTCCTCCTCCTCCTCATCATCATCCTCATCCTCATCCTCATCCTCATCCACATCATCATCATCATCATCATCATCATCATCATCATCATCATCATCATCATCATCATCAGTGTCATCATCAAAATCAACATCATCATCAGCATCACCATCATCGCCACCACCATCATCATCATCACCACCACCATCCTCATCATCAACAGCATCATCATCAGCAGCATCATCATCAGCATCAGCTTCATCATCATCATCACCACCACCATCATCAGCAGCAGCATCATCATCAGCAGCATCAGCATCAACATCAGTATCATCAGCAGCAGCAGCAGCAGCAGCAACATCATCAGTCTGAGGGACTCGTCGAGCCGGATCGAACGGGAAGGGTCCTGGGGTCCGAAACGGGGCACAAACGTCCGTCACGTTTCTACTCACAACGCGTGGATCCCTTTCCCCGCCCCTCCTCCAGGATCCGAAACGGGGCGCGAAAATCCGTCGTGCTTCTATTCACGCTGGGAAGATCTCAGAGTCATCCCCCCCTCTCCTCCTCCTCCCCGTCCGCCCTCTGGGGTCCGAAACGGGGCGCAGAAGTCCGTCGCGCTTCTGGTCACGACGGGAAGATCTGAGCGCCATCCCCCCGCCCCTCTCCTCCTCCTACCGTCCCTCCTCTGCGGTTCGTAGCGGGGCGCAGAGCCTCCGTCGTGCTTCTACTCACGACGCGCGGACGTGGATCTGACGATCACTCCCACGCCGCCCCTCCTCACCGTCCGTCCTCCGGGGTCCGAAACGGGCCGAGAGCATCCGTCGTGTCTCTGCCCACGACGCGCGGATGTGACGGTCATCCCCCCGCCGCCCCTCCTCGCCGTCCCTCCTCCGGGGACCGAAACGGACCGCAAGCGTCCGTCGCGTTTCTACTCACGACGCGCGGATCTGACGGCCATCCCCCCACCCCTCCTCCCCGCACCTCCTCCCGGGTCCGAAACGGGGCGCAAACCTCTGTCGCGTTTCTATTCGCGACGCGTGGATCTGACGGTCATCCCTCCGCCCCTCCTATTCCCCGTCCCTCCTCTGGGATCCAAAACGGGGCGCCAACTTCCATCGCGCTTCTATTCACGACGAGTGGGCCTCAGGGCCATCCCCCCGTCCATCCTCCTCCCCTGAGATCCGACGTAGCGAAAAAATTGCAACATCTTAAAGATTCACGAGCCCTAGTCCCCATCTTTCTGCATCATTTTCGAGCAAGATCGACCTGTGAGGGCCCTGGGGCCCGAAACTGAGCGAAAACGCCCGTTGTGAAAAAGTTGCAACGCCAGGATCACAGGGTCCCCGCCCCTCCTCCCTCTCTCGTCCTCGCCGTCGTCGTCGTCCTCCGCCTCCGGGAGTCTCGCTCCAGAGGTCCACGGGCGCCGCTGGAGGTTCCGCGGAGATCTCCCTCGAAGGAGGCCTGCTGAGATCTCCCGCGGCCCAAGAGGGGCCAGGAAGGCTCCAAAAACAACCAAAATCCTGTACCCTCCACTCTTGAGGAGGAGGAGGAGGAGGAGGAGGAGGTGGAGGAGATGGAGGAGGAGCAGGAGGAGCGGAGGAGGAGGAACAGGAGAAGGAAGAGAAGTCATCGTCAAAGAGTCTGTTCGGAATCGACGACGATGTATGAAGATGCGCGACCCCGCGCGGGACACCGAGCTGGGGCAAAAGCGCAATGAGGAAGGCATGCAGACAGGGGGGAGGAGGGGGGAGCAGGGAGGAGGGAGTATCGGAGTAGGGCGACTTGGAACAACAGCAGCTCAAAATCGGCCCTCAGAGCCCTCCATGGGTCCGAAACGCACCAGCTTCCCGAGCTGCGTCAAGCCGTGGCGATGGAGGGCCCCCCTCGAAAAGCCAGGTACCGTTGTCTCCACTGGCGCCCTGCTGATACAGAAGGAGAACAACGCCATAAACCTAAACGGTTGGCGCTCCGCGCGGATTTCTTGGATCTGCGCTGGACCCGCCTCCCTGGCGCCCGGAGCGCGCCAGGGGCGGCGCCGGAGGCGCCGCCGGGGGGGGCCCCAGCGCGGATCCAAGGAATTCGCGCGGAGCGCCAAAAGTTTATGTTTATGGCGTTTTTCCTCTTCGAAATAGGAGGAGGAGGAGGAGCAGGAGGAGGAGGAGGAGGAGGAGGAGGAGGAGGAAGGGAGGAGGAGGAGGAGAGAGGAGGAGGAGGAGGGAGGAGGGAGGAGGAGGGAGGAGGGAGGAGGAGCAGGAGGAGCAGGAGGAGCAGGAGGAGGAGGAGGAGTGAGGAGGAGGGGCCTGCACCCCCAGATCCTCGACCCTCGATCGCACCCCCCAACTGGGGGCGGGCAGCCTCGCCTGGTCGGCGCTCTCGAGGATCTTCTCGGCCCTGGCTGAGGCGGCGCGAGGCTGGGCGCCGCCGCTTGCTCAGGCGGAGCGGTGGCCCACTCGTCCACCCTCTCGGCCCGCATCCATCCTCCTCCTCCTCATCCACCTCCACCTCCTGCTCCTGCTCCTCCTCCTCCTCCTCCTCCCCTCCTCTCCTCCTCCTCCTCCCTCTCTCCTCCTCCTCCTCCTCCTCCTCCTCCTCCCTCCTCCTCCGGTCCAGGGCGGCTCTTCCGTAAAACGGGGCTGCCGCTTGAAATTTCCTCGACATATCCATGGCCAAGTGCAGATGCATGCAACAGTTACACGGACAGGGGGCGGTCCTTCCTCGAAAGAGGCATCTCGCTGGAAGCCTCGCTGACTTGTACGATCACAATTCCTCGCGCTCCTGCTCACGCGCCAGAAAGACGCAAGGCAATTTCTTTCCAGAGCGGGACCCTCGCCAGCCTGGCAGGCCCAGCGGTGCTGGTCTTTCGAGGGAGCGCATCTTGCGGTGAAAAGAAAACTTGCAGGGGCGTGTGAGGAGGAAACATGGAAGGGGAGGATGTATTGCAGCATCGGTGATGCATCTTTGGTTTACTCTGGCCCTCCTGCTCCTCCTCCTCCTCCTCCTCCTTCTCCTCCTCCTCCTCCTCCTCCTCCTCCTCCTCCTCCTCCTTCCTCCTCCTCTCTCCTCCTCATCATCATCACTCACACCACCACCACCACCACAACCACCACCACCATCATCATCATCATCATCATCACATCATCATCACCACCACCACCACCACCACCATCATCATCATCATCATCATCATCATCATCATCATCATCATCATCATCATCATCATCATCATCATCATCATCATCATCATCATCATCATCATCATCATCATCATCATCATCATCATCATCGTCATCGTCATCAGCATCATCAGCATCATCAGCATCAGCATCATCATCATAATCATCATCATAATCGTCATCATCATCGTCATAATCATCATCAGCATCATCATAATCATCAGCATCATCATCAGATTCATCATCATCATCATCATCATCATCATCATCATCATCATCATCATCATCATCATCATCATCAGCGTTGTCATCAATATCATCATCATCATCATCATCATCAGCAGCAGCAGCAGCATCATCATCATCATATGAAAGGAAGGTGGGAGGCGGACGAAATGAAGTGAAGTGCCATGAAAAATCTGGGGGGTCTGAACCTCCTCAGGAGGAAGCTCAACACGTGGGCATTTGAGTGGCAGACTGACCGCACCTGTTCGCCTGACTCTGCAGGCGGTGAGCGCTCGGGCCACAGCACGCCCAGGCTGGGGGAAATCCAGCTGCACGGAAGCTGGGGGCACCGCTCGGACCTTCACAACTACTCGAAAGCAAGCAGCTCAAAGCACCGACCATACCACGGCTGGCAGTCTTCAAATCTGAACACAGGATTTTGGCCCGCTGGGAAAGGGACGAGGAGAGGGGGGAGAGGAGAAGGGGAGAGAGGCGAAGGCACGATGAGGAGGCTGGGAGTCATCACCATCTCCATCATCATGCCCGTACAAACAATCATAAGGAGAAGGAGGAGGAGGAGGAGGAGAACAGGAGGAGGAGGAGGAGGAGGAGGAAGAGGAGGGGGAGGGGGATTGGATCCGCAGAGGGGCAGGATTCGAAATTGGTCGCAGATCCAGAGCGCTGGACCCAAACCCTGGCGTCGGGATCTTTCCACGGCGTGTACTCCTGGAGGTCTGGACCCTTTCCCCTGGGGCTGGCCTGTCACTCTGGATAGTTTCTTGACTGCCCCGGGGCCTGGCAAGGGCCTCTGGAGGCCGAAAAGGACCCAAGTCCCTGTCCCCTGAGATCAACACCACATCGCGAAAAATCACGACTGGAGCCCTATCGAACCCACCTGTCTGCTGCATTCTTCGAGCCGGATAGATATGTGAGGCTCCCGCGGCCCAAAACGAAGGAAAAAAAACGCCCGGCGTGAAACCAAGAAAAACGCCAGGATCTCAGGGTCGGCCCGGGTCCCTGAGGGTTTTCGGGTCCTGACTCGGCTCTCCAACGGCCGTTCGGGGCGATCCGGGCACCCCCAGAACGCTCCCGGCGAGGCACAGCTGCTGGAAAGCAACCCGAGGCTCAGGTCGGGCACGTCCTCCTACAGGCGGATTTTGAACGAAAAATGAAACACAGTCAAAAAAATCTCAACAACAAAAAAAAAACATAAATACTCCAAAAATCGTCGAGAGGCTATTTTTCACTAGTTTGGGATATTCCTCTTGTAGGGGGACATGCCCGACTTGATCCAAGGCTCGAACACCGCGGAGGCCCGCCGAAGAACGCCTGCAAGCCTCGCGCCTCGAGCCTCAAGAGGAGGAGCGGCAGCTGCATCGACGCCGCGATGTTGTTTGCTCCGCAGCGCCCGCCCGCACTCTGCGGCAACTCACGGGAGCATCCCATGCCGTCTTGCCGGCTCCTGCGAATCGACGCTCATCGGCACCGAATCGACGCCAAATCGACGCCTGATCGACGCTCATCGACGCTCATCGGCGCGAAGCGACGCTATGTCTCATCGGTCACCAGACGTTAGCGAAAATCGACGCCAGTGACGGCACGACGAGGGCACACATCGGGGGCGCGCAAGCATGGATCGGCGATCCACGGAATGTGGCGCGCGGTCGTCGAATCCAGGGATCGGGAAGAGTGCCCTCCCCAAGATGCGGCCGGTGCCGCCCCCTTCGGCGGCGGAAGTCCGCGGCGTCCCACGGGAAACGGGACCCGCCGCTGATCCGCGCCCCCCCCTTTGGACCCACGCTCGTGCGATCGCCAGAGTACACGGACTCCCGTGCCTCGCCGCCCGGCCCGCGCCCTCGGCACGCTCTCGCGGGGCGGCCCGGGGGCCACGACGCCCCGTCGGGCATGCGGAACCTGGCCACGAACTGCCCCTCGCCGAGCTGCCGGTCCGCGCGCGAGGCGCGCGCCCCGGGGCACCTCTGCGCGGGTGCCCCCCCGGAAGGGTCGGCGTCCTCTCGCTCGGCGTGTCGACGGTGGGCGGACAGTGCACTGCTCTTCTGCGGGTCGCGGCAAAGGGTGCGGTGGCTGCGAGGCACGCCGCGCGAGGCGGCTCACGGGCCACGCGCGCGGCGTGCGTCGCAGCCTCCGTACCCTTCGCCTTGATCCTGAGAAGAAGAATGCATATGGGGGGGAAGGGAGGGGGGCCTGGCTCTGGACCTCTGCTTACCGCCACTGTTTGCAGCAGTGCGGCCCCTGGGGGAGACTCCACCCGCTCGAGACAGGCACCCAAAAAACAGCCAAGATCAACTGCTTTCGTGTTGCCTTTCTTCTTCCTCGTTGTGCCTCCGCCTCACCTGGGATGCGAGACAAAACGAGCAGCAAAGCGGCCAACGAGACGGCCAATTCACCGTTTAGAGGTCCAACCCTGGCCCCGATCAGCACCCCCCTCCAGTCCAGGTAACGTCCCCACTCGTGCTGACGTCCGAGGTGTCTTTGGTTCTTCCCAAGACATTCCCAGACGGCGACGGTGCGAAGCGTGACATTACCAGCCTTAGGTCGGGCGTGTTCTCCTACAGGCGGAATTTGAACGAAATACAAAAAGTACTCAAAATATCGTCCGAAATGGTCAAAAAAATAAAGATAGATCCCCTGACTATTTTTGGACTATTTTGGAATGTTCCTCCTGTAGAGGAACCTGCCCGATTTAATACCAGCCCCGCCCGCCTCCTCCCTCTCCGCCCCCTGGCAACGCCCGCTATCCCCCGGAATTCAAAACGCTCTGCTGGCGTTGCAGGTCTCTGGACGACGGGAGACGTTGCCCTGCTCGGGGCCACGGGACCATCAAAGACCGATCCGCCTCGAAGTGGGCCGCAGAAGAGCGAGGTCTGGGGCTCTGGTCGTGATTTCTGGCGAGGCGTGAATTTTTGCTCCGCGACGTCGGCTCGCTCCAGGCCCAGATGTCCGGCGATCCGACTGGAAGTTCGATCCCAGCGATATGTTCCACGGCTTCGGCCTCCGTGGCCCGCTGGCGGACCCCGGGTCCATCAAAGACGGACCCAGGGCGGGAAACTGCCGCCGGCGACAGGGTCGGGGCCTCTGGGGCGCTGGGCGGGGTTTGAAACGTATCGCATCGTATCGTCGGATGGCACAAGTCATATCTCGTCGGATGCCTGGAGAGGCGGAGGGCGGCTCGGTGGGGGGGGGGAGCGGACAGGAAGCACTCGGGGGGGCTGCATGCAGACAGCGCCTTACGTGCAAATAGAACATGGATCCCGCGCCGAAGCGGCCCCTGCCACGCAGGTGCCCCCTGCCTATCCGGTGCCCAAGCCTAGAAAAGGGCACCCTGAGATCTCGGCGCCGCGACTCTTGTCCCTCTGGGCGGCTTTCCGCCCCGCTGCGGGCGCCGCGGCGCCCGCAGCAAGGATCGACCCGGCTCGAGAGGTGCTGCAGAAACCAAGACATCCGACGGCATGTTTCCTGTGCCCCCTTTCCAGGAGGCAGCTATTCTTGGAGACGCGCACAAGGGGGTCGAGGGAGGGGGGGATGGCTTCTTAGAAGGAGGCTGCTTCTTAGAAGGTGCCGGCCTTACATCTATAGAGAAGGCCCGCGCCTTCTAAGAAGCAGGGGTACTTCTAAGAAGCCCTTCCCCCTCCCCCCCCCCCTCTGCGCGTGGCTGAATCCTACGGCATGTTTTCTGTGCCCCCTTTCCACGAGGCAGCTGTTCGCCGCGGATCCACTCTTGATGGCCACACAGGGCTCAGCAGCTGGCCCCGCAGGCACACGTCGAGGACCGCCGGCCGCACTGGAAAAGTCATGCCGTCGGAGAGATCTGCGGTCTGGCGCTCCAGTCGTGACCCTGCGCGGTGCTCCCACTTCTTGCGGGCCGTCGGGCCTCTGGGCACCGCATGGGGGGGGGCACGGCGCGTCGGGGGAGGGGGCGTAGGAGGCGGGGCAGAGGCAGCGGCAGAGGTGGGGCTAGAGAAAAATCGCTCGAGACGGACGCCAGAAGCAAGATTTTCAAACATCCAGGCGGGCGATGACCATAAAGCCCGTCTTGCGCGAGATGACACAGCGACCCTACGCGGTGGCTCGCGCGGGCCGCCCGCGCGGCACGCCACCTTTGCAGCGAGGACGCTTACGCGCGACCTTCCGCAGGCAGCTTTCGCTCCGATGTCGGCGCAGGCGACCCCGTTTCTGCTGCGTCGCCCAGGTGGACCCGCTCCCTGACCCCACCTTGGAAGAACCCTCCCTCTGCGATGCCCGGACGTGGGCGGGAGGCGCCGTCCCAGACGTCCGGCCGCTTCGATTTCTTTGAGGCGTGAGCGCCCGGAGGTCTGGACCACTTCCCCCGGGTAGGCGGGCGCCTTCCGCCACTCGCAGAGTAGCTTCTCGCAAATGGCCCGGATCCAGTGCGTCGAGGCAAGCAGGCTCCATCGCATCGAAGAACTCCCGTTTTTGGAACGTCTGCGAGCAGGCACTGCGCGAGTCGTGGAACGCGCTCGGTGAACTTCCCCGGGGCTGGCTCCTCGTCCTGAGCTGTTTTCCTGACGCTACGGAGGCCCAGCGAGGGCCCCTGGAGGCCGAGAACGGCCATAAGAGCCCGCCGATCCAATGTTGTCTGGAGCGTCAGACCTCTGGGGCGGTCAGAGAGGAGAGAGAGAGAGAGAGAGAAAAAAAAAAAAAGCACTATGTTGCATCCTCGGGGGACCTTGTCTGTCCACTCGCGGACCTATCCGCGTCGAATCCGCGTCGAATCCACGTCGAACTCGTCGGATCCATGCCGGATCCGTGTCGAATCCGCGTCGAACCCGCGCCAAATCCGCGCAGAGGCCGCATGGGGCCCGCGTCGGGCCCAAGAGGAGGGACACCAATCAGCTCGGGGGGACGGGCCGGGCCCCCCGAAGGTGCCACGCAGAGAGCGCCCCGTGAGGGTCGAGGGGACGCGGCGGGGAGCGGAGCGGGCCGGTGCCAGGGCCCGGGGGGGGGCGCAGGCGGTGCGGCGCCGCGCCTCACTTTCGCAAAGGAGGGGCCCGGGTCCCCTCGCGCCCCAGGAGAGGTCCTGGCGCTGCTGCGGTGTCGCAGCGGGCGCTTTCGGCCGCGCTCGGCGTCGGGGGTTGCCAAAGGTGCCCCTGGCCCAAGGCGCCCCCAGCTTTTCGCTCAATGTTGAGCCCCCGGGGCCCTCTGGGCCTCGTGAGGGGTGCTCTGGAGGCCGCGGAGGCCTCCTTGGAGATCCTGGGGGCACCTTGGGCCAGGGGCACTTCTAGCAACACCCGACTCGGGCTCCCAGGACCCCTGCGCATCGATGCGGCTCGAATAAGTGCCGCACCAGCAGGGGGTCCAGGGCTCCAGTGGTGATTTTTGTTGGGGGAGGGACGTTGCAACCTCTCTTTGCGAAGTCTGACCTCAAGAGGCCGTGAAGGAAAATCGGCGGCGAGCGAGGGGGGAAATGAGAAGGGGCGGGCCTTCTCAGAAGGCTCGGAAGTGCCCCGGCCTTCTGAGAAGTGTTCTCTAAGCCTTCCCCGAAGACGCAAAAGACCTCTCAGAAGGCGCGAGGGCGTCTGAGAAGTCCCGCCGCCTTCTGAGAAGGCCTTCTCCTTCGCACTTCTCCCCCTCGCTCGCCGCCGAGAACACCAAGACCGCCGGCTTTGCACTATCTTAAGCCTCCGGGGGCCACTTCCCGGCCCCCCTGGCCGTCGAGGAACGGCCTGGAACGAAACTGGCGGCGCGCACGAGGGGGTACCAAGGGCTCCCAACTTCGCGCTTCGCGCTGCGCGAAGCGCGAAGTGCGAATAACTTCGCGCTCTCGCGCCGCCTCCCAGGGGAGAAGAGGAGGATGAGGAGGAATCGGAGCCGAACCGCGAAGCGCGAAGCGCGAAGCGGGAAGCGCGAAGCGCGAATAACCTCGCGCCCTCGAGGGCGCCCTTGGGTACGGGGGAGTGGGGAAGGCTTTTTGGAAGGAGGCTGCTTCTCAGAAGGCGCCAGCCCTACATCTGCAGACAAGGCCCGCGCCTTCTAAGAGGCAGGAGTGCTGCTGAGAGGCCTTCCCCCCTCCCCCATACCCCCGTCTGCGCGTGGCCGACGAAAGGCTGGTCCCTGGGAAAGGGTCCCAAGGGCACCTAACTTCGCGCTTCGCGCTGCGCGAAGCGCGAAGCGCGAACAACGCCGCGCTCTGGCGCCGCCCCCCCAGGGAAGAAGAGGAGGGTGAGGAGTCGGCGCCGAACCGCGAAGCGCGAAGCGCGAACAGCTTCGCGCCCTCGCGCCATGAGCAGAGCGCGGCGTCGGGGCCCGAGAGCGTCACGGCAGCGAGGGGCCCGGCGGGGCACGCTCGGCCCGAGGAGGAGATCGACTACAGCCAACCCGTCTGAGACGGATGCCCGATACCCGCAATCGCTCGGACGTCCATTCCCTGTGTTTTTTGTTGGTTTCGTGCGTGGTTTTCTTCACCAAATGATCAAGAATGCTCCTCAATTGTCCTCGCCGAAGGAAAATTGCACACGTCCGAGCGATGCCAAGGATGAGGGTGCCAAGGGGCCCTGGAAGGCCATGTCGACACTTTTCGAAGGAGGTTGGCCAGCGAAAGAGGCCGAGGACGGGCCAAAGGCGCGCAGGGATGCAAGGGGAACCTCGGAAAGTCGCTCATCCTCACCATGCGGGTGGACTGTGCAGAATGCGCGTAGGTCTACTAGCAATCTACGTAGTTCGCGCAGGTTCTGCGCAAAACAGTTCTGGGTAAGCAAATTCTGCAGTCGACCCAGACCCCCGACGTCATGATTTTTGTGTGACGTGACCCCCAGGAGCCTGGACCCCTCTCCGGGAACGGAATGTTCGTCCAGAGTCGTCTTTTGGCGGTCCCGAGGCCTGGGAAGGGCCCCCGGAGGCCGAACATGGCGAGAAAAACCTCCCGCTACCATTTTTTTTCACGACGCGAGGGGGTCTGGGAACCTCCTGCTCGATCGGCGTCAGGCCCACCAGGCGCCGAAGGCGCAGCTGTGCACAGGGGCCCTCCCCGCGCCAGCTCGGGGCCCGCTCTGCGGGCCGGGCCCCTGGTTCCCTCGGTGTGCCGCGTGAGCCTCCCCCGGGGCCCGTAGCCGTCGTCGTCGTCGTCGTCGTCGACGACGACGACGACGACGACGACGACGGCGGCGGCGGCGGCGGCGGCGGCGGCGGCGGCGGGACCAGGCCCTGGCCGAGACGGAGTACACCTCGAGCGTGGCGGGCTGCTCCAGCTGCCTCCACCGCTGGCCTTCGGGACCAGGGGAGAGAGAGAGAGAGGGAGGACCTCCTCCCAAGGCCTCTGGCCTCCGTCCCTCCCCTCCTCCCTCTCCCCATCCTCCCTCGCCCTCCCTCCTCCCTCCTCCCTCCCCCCTCCCTACCCCTCCCTCCTCCCTC